TGGAACAGAAGCAAAGGGTGTGCCCGGCATGACTGATGGTTTGTTTTTTAATCAGTCTCCCAGAGAAGAATTTGTCGGAAAACTACTTTTGCAAACATGATCCCCTGGTCCCTGTGTTCTTACATTTGCACCCAAGGAATCTGAACATTTCTGTACTTTTCTGGCGTTAGTGACTGTGTTTGAAATTGCAATTTCTTCAAAGGACACAGTCTCAGATTTATAATTAGCCCATTCACATGTGCAGAATGACTACAAGTGCAGAGTGCCGTCACAGGAAAAAGAGAAATATGCAGTCAAATAGTCATTTCTAAAATTTGAGACCACATGTTAGCATTAATAAATGCTTGAATTCATCTCTAGTTTCTTACTATTGGGGGGTTTGTGTGGGTATATATGTGGTACCAGAGATAGAACCCAGAAGCACTCTACCACTGAGTTACACCCCCAGACTTTGTGTTTGTCTGTTTGGTGACTACAGGACCTGGCTAAATTGCCTAGACTGGCCTTGAACTTGCCATCCTCCTGCCTCAGCCTCCTGATTACGTGACACTATAGGTGTGCACAACCATCCCGTTCTCTAGTTTAGTATGCAGACACACCATGTTTGCAAACGGTAATCAGCACAATGAATTACAGTACTAGTAAGTTAGTAACGATTTATAAATTCAAGCATGTCCAAGATTCTTTAGGGATGATCAAATCATAGTGTACTCAGCCCAGTAAGTATAACAGCATATCTATAATCCCAGCTGCTCAGGAGGCTGAGGCAGGAGGCTTGAGCCTAGGAGATAAGACCAGCCTAGGGCAACATAATAAGACCCTGTCTCAAAAAATAAAAATAAGGGGGTGGGGTGGATCAGGGAACGTAGCTTAGTGGTAGAACACTTGTCTGGCATGCCTGAGGCCTGCAGTTTGATAAATCATACTAGTGTACCCATCCGAAAATGGGGGTCCAACAGCCAGCCAAGAAATCTTACTTCTCAGAAAAGGAAAACACCACTGCTGGAAATTTTTCGCAGCATCAGCTAAGTGATCTCCTCAGAACTCTTGGGCATTAACAAGGATTTTAAACTTGGTGAATACAAAATGAGAAAAAAAACAACACTAAGAAACAATAACTTCATCTTTGACAAGCGAGACACTTTTCTAAGTGCTTCATGTATGTTATTCTCATTCCGTCCTCCTAAGCACCTGAGGTTTGTGCTGTTATTATTATTATTATTATTATTATTATCATTATTATTATTATTATTTCCATTTCCCAAATTAGGAAACTGAGGCACAGAGAGACCAAATTGTCCAAGGAAACTCCACTAATAATTGGGAAGCACGGATTTTAACCCAAGCGCCCTAACTCACGGAGTTCATATCATGAACTCTAAGTCGGGAGCTTGTGTTCAGAAAGAGATCCACGAGACAGCAGCAACTGCACCATTGTCCCCGCGGGCTGTCATTTGTGGATCCCAGTCGAGAGCGGGGCATTGAAGGTCACCATTCCTCCCAGGCTTCCTTCTTTGTACTCTGAATTATAATGCATCCTCATATCCCATTCTGTGATTACATAATTTTCTACTCGTTCTCACGGTTGCATTGCCACAGGGTAATGGCATTTGGCAAACCCGACCCTGAGACACAATGGTAAGAGTCTCTTTTTTAACCTTTGCCCTTCGCCTCTTGGTCTGGCTCTCTAAGGTCCATTTGGACAGAAGATCTGCTTTTGCATTCAGCCCTACTGACCCTGGATGAGGTACCATGGAACTGAAGCACCTTCCAAATCAATTCTCTCGGCTCCAGCTTGTGCCGCGTGGAGAAATTCTGCCTGCAAGATGAATGAGAAGGAATAATACCAGAGACGTGGGAACAAGAGACAACGGGGTACGGGGGCCCTGTGTCCCTCAACGAGGGGGAGAAGGAGGCAGGAAACAAAGGACGAAGACAAAAGAGAATAAAGGCGAGCGACAGCTCGACACTGAACCACGTGTCTTGTTCTACTATAAGAACATGCAAAAGTTTCACAGAATATATTCAGTTCACTGATGCCTCCATTGCTGGATGCCATGGTCTATATCATGTATTTCTGACTCTTTATGCCGAACATTTTTTCATTTAATTCTTTGGCTGTTAGTTGTGTTTAAAGAACCAGAAAAAAGCCAGAGAAATAAAATACTACAGAAATCTCAGATGACGGTATTTAGGAAAACAATTTGTTTTACTACATGTTTAAGTAGAAGTTTTATCTCTTCACAGACTAACTAGACAAGAAAATATTGAAAATCAGTACACATTGCCTAATCTTTTCCAGTGTACACGTTCCTCACAATAATGGTTCTCTCATTATTTGCTAGGAGCTGTGCTAACCTTTCCCCAGCTCGAAGGCCTCACACGAGAGCCTTGTAAAGCCGGTTCTATTATTAAAATCACAACTCAGGACTGGTGGGGGTAAAGAACTTATCCAAGGTCACAAGCAAAGTAGGCAGCAAAGCCCTCATTTACCTGCCCTCAGAATTTAAACTTTTTACCTCTATGCTCTGGAGAAGCCTTTAAATTTTGAAACAGTATAATAAAAAATCAGCAGATGCGGTTTTCTTTTTATTAGCCCGTGGTTTCAGTACTTAATGTTTACATTCCTTGAATGGAGCTGGCACCTGTAGGAGAAACACATCTTCATTCCTCCTGTCTCCCCTTCCCTCCTCTCCCGCTCCTCCATCTCTTGATCCCTTCCCCATTTCCTCCCTACTTCCTACTGGGCCACCTGGGCAGCTTCCTGGCTTCCCTGGGTCACTCACAAGCCCTGGGGACCCCTCCAAAGCTCGAGTGAGGAAGAAGGCGAAGGAGAAGCTACAGTGGGTGGAACGGCACGGAGACCACCTAAGGGACTACCGGAAATGTGGGTCCAGACACAGGTGGCCCTGTAACCGGACTCTACGCACGTCTTTTGCATGCTTGTAAGTGAGGAATAAAACCCAGGATAAACTCTGCTTTGATAGAGAAAAGGACACAAGTCACGTCACAGTGAACAGAGTATTCCTAAAGATCAGAACCACCGCTGTCACAAGGGTGCTTTCCAACCCAGACTTCAGCGACCTTCAGCGACCTACACAGCTTTGATAACAACTGAAAATACAAAACTGGATATTTTTATCAGCCTGTTCTCTGCTTCTGATAAATGTTATACTGAACCTTTTGAACCCAAAATACAGTGAATACATTTTTAAAAAACAGGATTTACAAGGTCACTTGATTTTCATCCCCTCGACCCCCTGGATTTTATACGTTTCGCCAAATGCCTCAGGAAAGGACTAAGTTTAGGAAAGTTTTCCCCAACTTTTCACTGGACCCTAGATATTATCCTGCGAGGACTGGATAAAGGTTATTTGAGGAGTGTGCGAAGACTCACATACTGGTCATAGCTGATTTTTCAGGATTAGATAACTTTATGAAATATGTTTTTCCTTTTTAAGACAGAAAATGAAATAATACGTGTGCAAGAACAAAACAAAAAATAGCCCACAGCCTGAGGAGTAATTTGAAATCTGTTTTTGTGGCCATAAGTACGTGTCTGCCTTTCCAAACTCTCCCACGAAATTAGTCCCAGCCTGGACTCCTCACCAAAGCACAGGAATTTAGGGAAAGGGGGCAGAAAGACCAGCAGGTTCAGAGTGCCCAACCCTGCCACATTTAGGACTTCAGTGAGTCCTCCTTTCGAAGGAGATATTATTGTCTTTATCACAGACGAGGAACATGAGATTAAGAGCAGTAAAGTAACCTGCCCAAGGCCACACAGCTTTTGACTAGTAAAGGCAAGTTTTCAAAACCGGAAACCATCTAGTCCCAAATCCTAAGTGCTTTCAACCACAGAATGCTGCTGAAAGCGCCCAGCTTCCTCCTCAGGTCCAGTCTGATCTCCATCCGTTCATTACACCTGGTTCCTTAGGAACCTCCCAGGTTCTCAGGACGTAGCAACGCAAAACCTCCGTTCTCACAGAGCTGGTGTGGGGCCTTCAGAAGGGAGCTGTAGTTACACCCTGTGCTTTCTCCCCATTGTAGGGCTTTTCTTCTGCCCCTCTCCCTGGTACTGGGGATCGAACTCGGGCTCTTAAATTTACTAAGGTAGGCTGCGAAATCACTGAGCTAAATCACCGGCCCCTGTAGGGTTTATTTATCAAGCCCTCAATGCCTGAAATGATTTAAGAAAAATACTGTTTCCATCTTTAAAAGGCAAACGCAATACAATAGAACCGGTCATCTGGAACTGAACGCCGTCCCCTTCACCCACCCCAGCGGTTTGCAAGCAGCGAATGGCTGGGTTCTCAGGAGTGGAGAGAGCCCTTCCAACTGCACGGTGGCCCCAAAGCAGGGGCGCTTGAGTCAGGCCTGGTTAGTGCCCGGAGGGAAGCGGCAGAATCCACTGTCCATCAGGAGCAGCCGAGGTCCCGCCTTCCTGTGGGCCTTGAGGGTTCACAGCAGCCCTGTCTGAACCCCTGAGTGAGAAAGCCGGGGTTCCCCACCTGCCCAAGCCAGACGGCACTGGCTGCCTGTGTCCCACAGTCCCCCTGGGCCCTGCTGTCCCCAACGTGGTGGCTGGGGAAGATTCACTTGCTTCTGTCAGAAATAACTGTAACGGTAATAGAAAAGAAATCCTAGGCATTCTTTAAAGCCATTGAGAGGTTCCAGCACACTGCAGCCGAGAAAGAATTTAAGTCCTCCACTCACGTCCAAGTGTGAGTTTGTCATGTGTGCTCGGTGTATCTCATAGACCAAAGCCTACTGATTTGCTCTATAAATTCTTTACCTGACTTTTCCCCTCTGTACTGCAGATTAGACCCACAGTCTTCATACCTTTGGGGGGGTGTTGTTGTTGCTGTTGTTTTGTTTTGTTTTTGTACCGGGTTCGAACTCAGAACCTTGCGCCTGCGAGGCAGGTGGCTGCACCACTGAGCTAAATCCCCGGCCACAAATCCCCCCTTTTTGAATCACCCGAGACTCGGCTCACCTGTGAGCCTAAGAAGATTCACTTTGTGCTTGCTCCTCGTCTTCTTTGCCTGTTTCTTCCTCTATAAAGAGAGGAGACTAAAAATAAAAACCGAAGAGGAGGAGTAACAACAAACCTACAAACAAATTAGTGAAGTGATTTCAAATTGTTATGAGCATCGCAAAGGAAATCGGGCTTCACTCGTGGAAGGAGGCCTCTCTAGAGAGGCGATAGTGGAGCTGGTGAGTGTACGGGGAGAAAGCGGCAGCCGTGGAAATGGAGGGGAACCGGAAGTGGGCGCCCAAATCCCTAACAAGCTGGAAGTGTTTGAGGTGCGCCCAGCAACACGACCAGTGAGACTGACAGGATCGGAACATGGGAGCCTTGGGAGAGCTCGGAATTTACTCCAGACAATGGTAAGTAGAAGTTGAGGAAGAGGCAGGACCTGAGCTACTCTTCCAAGGCATTCCAAGCCAGACAGCCAAGAAAACAGAGAAAAGTGGCTGTATTTGCATACAGGGCTCTGAGATTTGCTAGTAGCTTAAATGTGGAAGGTGAGAGAAAGACAAATCAAGAACAACCCCTTTTTAGGGCCAGAGATTTAGCTCCCTGGCGTAGCTGCCTGCCTCGCAAGCAGCAAGGTCCTGAGTTCAATCCCCAG